TTCAAGAGATTTCCCCATTTCTCTCTTTCCATCTATCATTTTATGGTAATGAGTTTAATGTGCACTGGCAACAGAGCGATCAGTTTCTATTGTCAAGACTATCAGCATCCAAAGAGCTAGAAATTGCTTGTTCTTACATGAAAACAAAAGATTCTGGTGTTTCAGTGGACATCTACAGAAAAATCCCTGAAAATTTAATACTGATTTCAGTTTCAAATTATCACGTAAATTATAGCAAAAATAGACTCGTGCCATCTTTGTTTGGTCTAGTTACAAATATAATTGAGTGCCTGTGGACAGCATAATATTGCTCATTCTAAGCCTTTTTAATCTCCTTGCTTTTTTAGAACATGGGATGCAGGGTTTCAGTGTAGTAGTAGTACCTAGTAAGACTGACTAATGCAAGGTTAAATCTGTTTCCTCTCCACAGAAATTACAGATAAGACCAGACACTTGTTAAGCTTTTTAAAGCTAAGTTTAACTTTAATATTTAAATGTTAATTTTGCTCTCTCTTATAATGCAATTAACTTTGATCACTTTTTCTATAAATTTGTTAATTGCTGCTGGATATTTGGCATTTTGGACAACTTGCTCAGCTCAGAAAGTGTTTAGAAAATTGCTATATGGCTGAGTAGCTTCATGCGCAATCAACTATTATGAAATAAAGATTTAACTTTCATTTCCATGCTTCATTACTTGCTCTTAACATTTTAATGGAACACTTGAAATTTAGTGGCAATTCCAGTAATGCCATGTAATATCAATGATGTATGATAATATTACAGGTATGCAGTGTTATAGCCATGTTGGTCCCAGGATATTAGCGACACTGTGGGTGAGGTCAGATATTCTATTGGATCAATTTTGTTGGTGAGAGAGACATGCTTTCAAGCTTACATAGAGCTACTCCTGAGGGAATTCTGTGCCAAAAAATTATGCGCAAAATATTTTAAAATTCTGCATATTTTATTTGTCAAAATACCACATAATCACACCAGTTTCAATTATTTTGGGTCATTTATTTCAAAATACCTGTTAGAAAGTATGTCTGTAACAATACAGACAACAAAAAAGATTCAGGAAATGTTTTTTGTCAAATAGATTCCTTACTAGGCATACAGAACTCTGAGTAATAATTCATTTAAACTACAATACAGAACCATTTCTCCTGCACCCCTCAGAAGCAGTGCAAAGGCTTGGGGGAGTCAGGGGTAACAGAGGAGCTGAGGGAGGGGGAAGTAAATTGCTGGGAAGGAACCTGGGTGTGAACTTGGAGGGTTGTTGGGTATGGGTGGGAAAAATATGGAACAGGTTTTTTGGGGGGTGGGGAGGGATTGTTGGGGAGCTTCCCTCATGCAGACCCTGGCTGACCCCAGCCTCTCCCATTCAGTCAAGCACATCTGCCCCTGTTCCCATGTGTTCCTGCACCCCCATGTGTCTTTGCACCATGTGTCCCTTTGCCCCCACTCAGACACCCACCCCCTCCTCCATCCCCATGTGACTCTGTTCCCCCACCCAGCCACTCCCCTGTTCTTATGTAGCTGTGCACCCCCTCCCCCCTGTGGCCCTGTGCCTCCACTCCCATTCAGCTTCTGCCCCAGTCTGTCCTCACTCACTAACCCTTATGAGCCCCTGTGTGACCAACACCCCATGCTGTCTGTCTCCCCATAGCTCAAGGCTCCTGACCTGGCAGGCGCTGTGAAGAAGGCACTAGAGGCTCTTTCTCTTCCCTCGCTGGCCGGGAGCAGCTGCTTTGTTCTATCGCCACTTTGTCCTCTGGTGGGAAAAAGGCAGAACTGTAGCAACATTTCAGCAGAAGCTTTTTTCTGCACAAAAAAAATATTAAAAATATGTGCATCTCATTAATTATGTGCATATGCAGTAGCACAGAATTCCTCCAGGAGTAATAGAGCTCTTCTTCAGGTCTGGGAAACCTGCTCAGGCCTAGTCTATACTGGCAATGCTAAAGTGCTGCCATGGCAGTGCTCTAATGTGGCTTGTGTGGGTGCGTGAACCTCCATGAGGGGCATAGCTACCAGTGCTGGGAGCATGGCTCCCAGCGCTGGTGCACTGTCTACACTGGTGCTTTACAACGCTGAAACTTGCTGCGCTCGGGTGTATTTTTTCACACCCCCGAGCAAGAAAGTTGCAGAGCTGTAAATTGCCTGTGTAGACAAGCCCTCAGTGTCACAGCTAAACACAAGAATGAATCGATTGTTTATCAAAGTAGTTAACACATTTCAAGGGGCCATTCCGGGTGAAGTGGCCTGTTAGTACTGCCCATAAGGGAGAAAGGAAGGTGGGCAAGGCAGCTAGGGCGGGCAGTGTGTGTGTTTGTTGTAAAATAAGCCATACATCCAGTGTCTCTATTCAGTCCATATTTTTTAGTATCCAGCAATATTATGAATTTAAGCTACCAGTCTCATCTTTTGAAAATGTCTGGGTTTCCTTTTGAGGATGACTGATAAGTCAGATACAGAGTGATGTCTTTGTGAAAAGTGTTCACCCTCCTGTGATGTGTTTTTTGTCTTTTATCATTTTTCTGTGAGTTCATTCGAGACATAGTGATTGTCTGGTTTCACCCACATAGTTGTTGGGACATTTAGTGCACTGGATGAGGTACACCATGTGTTGTGATAGGCATGTGTAGAACCCATGGACCTGGAAGGGTATGTTACGGGGGCTGTTGATTATTGTAGCAGTGGAGATATGTCTGCAGCTTTTGTATCTGTTCTTGCAGGGTCTGGTGCTGCTTTGAGTAGGTGTCCAGGTCTGTAGGGAGCTGGCTTCTGATGATGAGCTTTGAGAGGTTGGGGGGGGTGTTTGAAGGCCAGAAGACGGGGTTAAGGAAAATTTTATTTCAGGATGGGGTCCTCATTGATTATAGGTAAAGCTAAGTTTTTGTCATAGATATTTTTAGTAAAAGTCACGGGCAGGTCACTGGCAATACAGGGGGTCCCTGGTATACGTCTCCCCTTTATCTGTCGTTTCACGTATCCATCGCTCATCAATAGGGGAACGTATTCTGATTCACATCAGTCCTGATCCTCATATCAGTCACTTCACCTTTGGCATGACTTTTTTTCTTTGGGCGCTTCCCCCAGTGTTCAGGAGGCGCTGGGAAGGAGGGGGAAGAGTGAGAATGGGGCATGCTCGGAGGAAGGGGCGGAACTGGGCGGGAAGAGGTGACCCAGGCCATTATTTCTTATGGGGAAAAATTCCCCGGTATCCGTTGTTTCATATCAGTCATCCTTTTCAGGAACGCAACCCCGACGTATACCGGGGACCCCCTGTAAAGAAAATTTCACGGAAGCCTGTGACCTGTCCCTGACTTTTACTAAAAATATCCATGATAAAATGGGAAGGGACTGGGCAACTGTGGGGTGGCTGGGAGCTCTGGGCCCCCCCCCCCCCACCTGTTCAATTTCAGAACTTCAGAAAACTCAATTTGTGATTCTGCAGCGTTGTCTACACTAGGAAAAATAGTGTAGGCAAGCCTCATGCTGGAATTCTGTCTACACTAGTGGTTAGGTCATTGCTACTACCATTGCGACTGTACCTGTTATGACAGTCGATGTCACGCAGGTGCTAATTTTTCTAGGATAGATAAGGCTGCAGAATCACAAGAAACTTACTTTAAAAGGTGTTCCGGAAAGGAATTGGGCAACTTAGTTTTTTAAAGTTCTGAAACTGAACTTCACTATAAAAATTACAAGTGGGGTGGGGGCGCTAGGGTCAAAGAATGGTATCTTTTAGTCCATTAAGAGTTAAACAGGCTATATGTGTCTATACTAGAAAAGTGAGTACCCATATTATGCTTGCTGGCTGCTATAATATGGGTATTCTTTTCTAGTATAGACACCTTGTCTGGACTAAAATTTAAACCTTTTTTTAAATTCCTGACTTTGTGTTATTTTTTTTCAAATTGGAAAACATCACACCTAAAGACTAAGCACTGTCAAATTTATTTGTTAAACTTTGTGTTATGACACTGGTTCTTGGATAGTAGTGCCAATTTTAGCTTCAGTAAAAATTAATTTAAAAGTTATCTCTGTGAATACAAGGGGTTCAACAAAGCAGATTTTTTTTCTTTGACTCTAGGTCACCATTGATGAAATAATAACCTTGTTATACTTGGATGATTTGTTCTTCTATTTAAAATGTATATAAATGGATACAGATTGGCATGCATTATTCTTTACTTGTTAATCTTATCCCACCTGTTTAAGGTGTTTGAAACTGATTTACAACTTCTCACTGCATGTTCAGGCAATGTCTAATTTGCACAGGTAGACTGCAGGATAGAAGTGGATAGAATGCGTAAAATGGGGGTGGGGGGGAGAGAGTGTCACTGGGGGGATGCAGAGCTCTCCCTGCAGCATCGACTCCAAAGGCTTCAGTGCCGCTGGGCTTGGCTTTCTGCTCTGGGCATTGTGCCATGCTGCACTGGGTCACAGTGCTACTCGGTACGTCTTCACTACCTGCCGTATTGGCGGGTAGCAATCGATTTATCCGGGATCGATATATCGTGTCTCGTTAAGACGCGATATATCGATCCCCGAATGCGCTCACCGTCGACTCCGGAACTCCACCAGAGCGAGTGGCGGTAGCGCAGTCGACAGGGGAGCCGCGGCCATCGATCCCGTGCCGTGTGGACCCCAGGTAATTCGATCCAAGATACTTCGACTTCAGCTACGCTATTCGCGTAGCTGAAGTTGCGTATCTTGGATCGATCCCGCCCCCAGTGTAGACCAGCCCTCAGGTTTGGCCAGCCACCTCTCTGTCATAATGACAGGGCTGGCTGGGCCAAATCTGAGAGTGGTGCTACAATCCCATAAACCTAGTCACAAAGCCACTCTCTCAGATTTGGCCTGGATGTCTCCCTCCTCAGGGGGACCAGACTAAACTTGAGCAGCACTGCAACCTTGGAGGTTGGGAGTAGGTTGGCACTTAACAAGTCATTTGATTCATTTAACCAGTTTTTAACTTCTTCCCACAGTGAGGGGTTCAAAACCAGGTAAAAACGTCCAACTTCAAGAGAATGAAATTAGAGGACTGTGCTTGAAATCCAGAGAAATATTTCTCAGTCAGCCTATTCTACTAGAACTTGAAGCCCCACTTAAAATATGTGGTAAGTATTGTGACTTACTGTGTATTGGTCAGTTGACACTTGGCTTTCAGTGAACAGGCATTAACTTGGAAATATATTTGCAGAAATATTTCGTTTCTTACATACCTATCGATAGGTGTCTTAAAACTAAATACAATAGAACTAGTGTAAAACATCAGTTGTAATCAGCTGATCTGAACAAAAGGCTATAGCACAAGGGCATAAACAAACCAATGTCCGGTTAATATAAAGAATAGTAATGAAGAGGGTAGCAAATACAGAAGTAAAAAAGTGGGGGATGAGGAGCAGAAACCCCAATGACAAAGATAAGTTTGCTGAAACTAGACTACCAAAAAAGGATGGGCTACTTCTGGGTTGGGGATGCGGGAGAGTCCCAGAACAGCAGACCTTGTATGAAGAAAGCCCTGCCCTCAGCACAGCCCTGATTGAATCTAGGGGTAGAACAGAGACCCATAATAGTTCTAGGCAAGGTATTTGGGGCATAGATTCCTAGCCTAAGTAATTTATATTGTGATGAAAGGCAAAATAGAAACCACTCCAGTAAGAATATGTAACTTCAGCTCTTAAATTACGTTGTTTTATTAAATCCTTTTCTAAGACTGAAGATTACCTCAATTTAGAGTAATTTGTTCATTATATCTTTTAACTGCACAGCTGGTTTAAAATCTAGTAGTCTTTATAAGTATGATTGTTGGGCATGATCTATTTTAAAAAAAAATCTAGACCAGAAGTGAAAGTAGCATTCACTTCCAAGCCAACTTTGCAGCTAGGATTTGAATAATCTTGTTACTTTCTTAACACATCCACAAATGGTACTCAAGATTTATATCTAGGAGGGATCTTCTGATACCTACATATGCAGCATTCTGAAATGAAAACTGCAGATGGATGCCATCGGGAGGCATTAAGACCAATATAAAGGGTCTTGATCATAGAATCTTTTCTCAGGCAAAACTCATAGTGAAGTCGAATGGAGTTTACCTGAGTAAAGACTATAGGATTGGGCACAAAGAGCTTTAACTTTTGGGTTGAGGTATTAAAAAATATGTATGAATATTCTTAAATAGCAATTCTTTGGTCATTCAGCACAACTTGCTGGGTTATGTAACTTCAGTGACTGTATACTGCTGAATGTGCATAATTTTCATACTAATAGACTAGAGACCATTTGATTCTTCAGACATCTGTGGTGGGCAGCATGTAGCTTTACATGAGATCAGAAATAGATATAGCTTTTCTCAAGTTTTATTTGGCTAGCAAGTCAGTCAGCGATTGTAGTGAAGGTCTCGCTTATGTACCACCGCTTATGAATGCCTTTGTTTTTAAGGTGACATCCATGGACAATACTATGACTTACTTCGACTCTTTGAATATGGAGGTTTTCCACCAGAAAGCAACTATCTATTTCTTGGTGACTATGTTGATAGAGGAAAACAGTCTTTAGAAACAATTTGTCTCTTATTGGCCTACAAAATCAAATATCCTGAGAATTTTTTCCTTCTTAGAGGGAACCATGAATGTGCCAGCATTAATAGAATTTATGGATTTTATGATGAATGTAAGTAACATTTGTTTTTTGGTGGATGGAAGAGGGTTGTTATGCACTTAATTATGCTAGCTTACAAAAATTCTCTCCCACTTTGGTTTTATTTGAACTGTGTACCAACTTACAGCTTCTCTCTTGCATAGCTCAGGTGGCCTCTTGGAAATTTGTACCCTCAATGATCTAATTATGGTTTGATCAGCAAAATAGAAAGTACTGTGTAGAATGACTGGTATAATTTTATTCCTATTTGATCACTGCTCTGATTAACAGCACTCACTGCTGTACACTGTTAAAGTTCAAATTGTAAGCTTATCTAATCTTGTATAAGATAGAAATTCTAAATTGCAGCACAAAAATATTTACCTTTTCTCTGAAGTATAAAACGTGTGTGTAATTACATTGTAAATCCTTTAGTGAATAAATGGTCCTTTATCTTCTACCCTGCTTACCAGATAATAAATACAAGATTTGACTTTTTATAAAACTGTTTACATTAGAAATAGCTGATCCTTATTTCCGCTTTTCAGGAGGACCTGAATAGTGATACAGCATGATATGCATTTGTACTTTCTTTAGGAAAATAACTAAAAAGGTTGATTTTCCCCCCCCCCTCCCTTTGGTAACCATTTGTAACTAAATATAGCCTTTACACTAAATTTGATGCTTCTTTTCATGAACCAGTAGGGTACACTATATCTATAAAAATGTATTTAAGCAATGATATAACTTAACATACATGGTGATGGTGCTGCCCACCTAATAACTTTTAGCCCAGAGTACTAGCCTGGGATCAGGGAAACCCAGGTTCAATTCTCCCCCCTCCATGCTCCAGAGACACTTTATTATTTATCTACAGTGGAATAGCATGACTGAGGGAGCCCCACATCAGAATATCTCATAGCTCACTGGTTAAAGAATTCTCCTGAGAGGTGGGAGACCCCTGTTCAAATCCTCTATCTCCTGACAGAGAATGGGGGAATTGAATCTGGGTTTTCCACAACCCAGGCAAGCTCTAACTACTTAGCTAAAACCTACAAGGTAGGTGCCACCTCTGTTGGCTGGATTTTCTCCTCCATCTGGATTTTGAACGAGTCCCAATCCTGTAAACAGCCTCTGAGCATGCCTACCAGACTGGGCCATATACATGACTTAGGTGGCCAAATACCTGTCTTTACCCGGTTCAGGAATCGCTCTGGGAATTTGGCAGGCAATAGGACTCCAGACGCCTAGAATGAGGCAGTAGTGCGCATTCCCAGAGACAGAAACAGTAAGCTCCTAGGGAACTCTTACAGCAAAAACATAGGAGTCGAATGTAGGCACCTACAGGGTTCAGCAGGAGTTTTGTGGATTGTAATGGAGCTAAAACATACTCGGTCCAATCCTATCCTATGTTTTTCGAGATTCAACTTAGTAGATCTCATCCTCACACCTATTTTTTTTCATAGATTGGAAGACAAAAACAAGCTTCCCTGCTTTTTTCAACTTCCAGTTGGTTTCTTAACTTCAAATGAACTAGTCATAAAACTCAATTAGCAGAATAAACTGAAATGAAGGGAAAAATCTTTCTGCACCCGTAGAAGTGACTACTGCTTTCCAAAAGCTGGTTTAGCACTTCAACGATATCTGGTTCCAGTTACTTAGTCAGTGACTTCCACCACTTTAGTGGTTTGACTTTCTTTAAAACTTGGCAGCAAATATGTTGTACTACTTAATATTTTTTTTGTATTTAATTTAAATGATTTTAAAGATTATTAAATTCAAATATAATTTTAGGGTTTTTTTAAATGAACTTGTATTTAATTCAAATAAGTCCACGTTTTTAAAGTCATCAGCTTTTATCCACCCTCTGCTGCCCCTCTCTTTAGAGGACACACAGAGGCAGCTCAGATTACAGGATTGACACGTTTCATCTCTTCCAAAGATCATGTCAAGGTCTTCCAACAAAGGGAAGACAGTGAGGACCTGATACATTTCAAATATTGTATATATTTTGGAGGCAGGGGGAGAATTGAAGCTATCTTTGTGCATCCTAATGGAACAGTAAATACTAAAATTGACTTGTCTTTGGCTTGCAGTTTTACTTCTAAACTAAAATTGTAACTGGCATTCTTGTCTCCTGGTAAAAATAATTTTGCTGACAAGTGACTTATTTATTGGAAATCTGACTGACTGTAAAGGTTTTGATTCCACTTCACTACTGGCTTATTAAAAGAAAACTCTTAAGATTTAAATATTCATAGTTTGGCAATGGAATGTGGAATCTTTCATGTCTTGTTCAGATCTATCAGACTGGCAAGTTTGATCTTGGTGGTCTTAGTATAAATGTATCCACATCATTCAGTTGCTACTACAGATGACAGAAGAGGGGCCAAGGAGTGAATGGTTCATGAAGACTGAATTACCTTCTAATACAATATGGAGAATGCTGAATTCTATTACCCATACTGTGACTGTTTTGTGAAGTTCACCAATATGCATGGTGTGAGCACAAGGGCTATGCTTCACTTAATTTTTCAAAATTGGGCTTAAGTGGCGCATAGACCTTCTGGTCCTCTAAACATTGGTGAACCTAATACTTTATGAAGAGGACTTCAGTCTTCAAAGTCAATTTGGCAACCAGCAATAATACTCTTAAAAAGAATGTTCATGTAAACTATATGAAAGCAGGGTAGAAACTGACCTGCAGTAGCACGCTGTGATGCGCTTGTTGCTTTAACATTTTTCTAGTAGTACATGATCAGTAATTACACAACCTTTCAAATGGAATTGATGAAATGAGTGCAGCTTTCCTAGTTATTGTGCCTTGTGACCTTCACTGTTGGCTGTGTGTGGACTAAAAGCACGCATAAAGACAATTTTTTTCATCTGTGCTGTCCACAATATACACATTTGATTTTTAAAGTGATATGCTATTTCAAAATATAAACTTTGCTTGGAAAACCATTACCTCTAAGTTTTTTAAAATCCCTTTAGCCCTTTTTATACTCTGGGGAGTATAAGGATACAAATTGTGCAGAAAATAGACAGTTTTTTGTTTCACCCAACTTCATAGAGCTGGCTTCATAACTTATGATTCTTCATTATTAAAACACTTTAAAAGTCAAAAGAACCCACTACTTTTGATACAGTTGAGGGGTACTGGTGTCCTCTGAACTCTGAAAAAGATAATTTAGGTTTATATACCAAAATGTTAGATGGCGGCAGTACCTTGTCCTATATTATCTTGTGCTGTGATCTAATTTGATATTGCATGCTAAGCAGTTTGGACAGTATGTGTATGGATGGAAGACCTCAAAGGAAAACCTAGGTGCCCCATGAAATTACATTGCTGATTCAATAGGTGGCCTTTGTCCCTGAGTGTTGGTGTGGACCCATTATCTCACCATGGTGTTGAGGGTAGCTTTTGGTAAACTCTGAGCCACATACAGTGTTGCTGTGTACTGTTGTCACTTGCCACTGGGAGAAAGTGTTGATTTCTATATTAATTAGGCTCTTTTAGGACAAAGACTACATAAGTATACAATGTAAATCTTAGCATAATTCCATACACAAGTTGCCCAACTTTAGGGGGTCAGTAAGCAAAATAAACTCTCTGAATATATTTGGTCTATGCTAAGAATGTCTCTAAACAAGTGCTCGGTTAATCATAACTTTAATGTACTTAAAGTTACGTTTAAAAGGCTTCTGGGGTGTAATTTAAAAAAAAAAAAACTTAGGCTGGATAATTTCACTTTTAAAGGGTTGAATGAAAATAGAGGGAGAACATGTTATCTTGCCCTAAACTTATTTGTGTTGTGGGTCATTTGCTTTGCTAGTTGCTTACGTGATACTTTTAATGCAAAATACAATAGACTTCATATGGGAGTGGGGGTCTCTTCCAACTTTATCTCACATTGATTCATCCAGAACATTCTTTGGATGAATTAATGAGACTTCTAAATCTTCTACATACTCACTGTTGGACAACATAGATTAGTCTTAGATGTTTTTATATAAAACAGCATGCACCTCTTTGGTGCTGCTCAGGATAACTTGTATAAACACACCTTTTTTTTTTTTTTTAATGTGCTTAAATTTTAGGTCCAGGTTTTCTACTAAGCTTAGCTTCAACTGGGTACAGTTGAGTAGAGGGGTGTTAGGGAGACAGTTGCAGCTCCCTGATTCTCTGACTGGTTTTTTGTCAGGTACAGTCCCTGCTAAGTTTAGAGTAGCCTCAAGGTTGCTCTGAATACTAGTCAACAGTGGTTTCCAAGGGACAGTCTTTTAGTTACGTATTTCCAGAGTGCAGCATACTCCAAAATGCCCCTATACTGGGGCTGTGTGGGGTGGGAAGTAGGAGTTGGTTGAACTGGCTCTGTGCCTGTTTGTTTGAGAAGGTATGAGCAATGCAATGGAAGTGGAACAAGCCAGAGAATCTGGCCCTAATCTGTAAAAGGTCAGTCTCATTCTACACATGGAAACTCCTACCACTCCAAAAGAAACCTTTAAGAGCCACTTGGCTTTTCTGAATTTGCTACAGTCTGAGACATCTTAAAACCTTTTTTCATCAGCAGTAAAATGCATTGCGTCTAAGAGGAGCTGTGTGTGTGGGCTTCATTTCTACACCATGGCAAAGTTAAGACAGCAATAGTAGCATTGTAACATTGTTGGATCCTTTCTAGTTCTCATTCGGAGACCATCTCAATTGTGTTTTTTTCTCCTAAAACTTTGTAGGTAAAAGAAGATATAACATTAAGCTGTGGAAAACTTTTACAGACTGTTTTAACTGTTTACCAATTGCAGCCATTGTGGATGAAAAAATATTCTGCTGTCATGGAGGTATGTGGTGCTTCTCTAGTGGTTACTCAAGTGATTGCTAATCCCTTACCTCTAGGTGTGCTAGTTCCATGTTTGTGTTTATGCATTTTGCATAGTTGGAAAATGACTCCCTGTTGGTTTAATCCTCGTTGCTGAAATTCTGGAACACCTGTTCTCCCGGGGGGAATATGGGAGGCTCAATTCATGCACTGAGCTGGATATTGAAGGTTGAGGTTGAGCTGGATATTGAAGGCTATGTTAAGTAAACCAACCCTAAATAGGTTGTTATGCAGCAAGTTCCAGAGCTTATATTTTTAGGCATTGAAATACTTAATTGAGCAAGTAGTTTAGTACCATTTGGGATATATGGCGGTCTGCTTTTCCTGTTCTATAGAAGTTCATCTGCACTCCCCTCTCCTTTCAAATAGAGAATCTATGTAATTTGCCGAATAGATGGTCTGAGTCCTATATAGATTCTACAAAGGACAATAAATTCCTGGTCATTGGGGGGGACCCCCAGGACATGCCAAGGGGTTAGCCTACACCTAAAAGTCAGTCTTACCCTTTTTGAAGTGTATTTAGGTTAGGTTTTTTACAGCTGTTTATACCACTTCAGTAACTGGATGGATCTAATGTATAAAACAGTCCAAGTATCTCAGCAGTGACATGTGGCCTATTGCAACTCTTGGTATCTGTCTATAATTTGCAACAATTATAGCTTACCTAGATACTACAGTGAAAAATAGTATGAATATTACTTATACTAAGTTACTGTAACACTATCTCCCCATCTTTGTTCAGGCATAGTAATATGAAATACTATCTGACAAGTACAGTATTTTCTACTATTTAAATATCTTTCAGTTTGTCTTAAAGGCACACTTTGTAGGTGTTCACAAATATTAAGCAGTGAGAATGAAGTATTCTGTAAAATGCAGAAGTGACCTTCCTCATCCTTATACCTAAATATGTGAACATGCACAATAGGCAACTGTTTCTGCTAAATCGTAAAGCTGTGAAGACAAGTCACTTACACCTCTTTGTGGCGTGGCCCTTCAAAGTACCCTGCACTCAGTTCCCTTCCTGATTCTCCCAATAATTCATTTACAGCCTGGGGTACTTAAAGTAATGTCCAACTCCTTGGAGTCTAATTTATTAAGTTGTTATACAATAGTGTGTCTCTTAGCCCTTCAGACCCAACCTGTCCCACTTGAGACTTCCAGTTCATGCTTGTAGGCCACTCGGTTCCTTCCCCTTAGTTAAGGGGTGTTGGGCTGTGCTGTATTTCAACAGTCAGGCTTCTCCTCACCAGGCCCCCCCCCCCCCCCCCTTCTTCTTCTTCTTCTCGTTCCCCCACCCCCCAACAGTTGGGCTTTATCGTGTTCAAGAGGTACCTGTATAACACCTGGTGGTCATTTGCTGGCTTGCATGCCACTCCTTTGAACTTTTTTCCTTAACGAGGCCATGTCATGGAATAGGGTTGGCTGGCTCTGGGCCCCACTGCTTCTTGATGGTGACAGACCACCCTGTTACAGAGAGCTTTTAAAATTGGATAAAAATCAAGAATCACCATAAAACTTTATAGATACTAATCACCACCAGCAAATCAACAGGATGGACTTTAAGGCTTTTTGTGTCTTAATAGGTGATTCAAAATGTTTGTTCCACACATTAACATACTTTGAGTAAAACACTAACCATTTATACATCTTAAAACTCCTAACAGGCCTGTCGCCAGACCTTCAGTCAATGGAACAGATTCGGCGAATTATGCGCCCCACTGATGTACCAGATCAGGGTCTTCTTTGTGATCTGTTATGGTCTGATCCTGACAAAGACGTCTTAGGATGGGGTGAAAATGACAGAGGAGTGTCCTTCACATTTGGTGCTGAAGTGGTTGCAAAGTTTCTCCATAAACATGATTTGGATCTTATATGTAGAGCTCATCAGGTATCTTAATTTTACAAGTACAATCCATGGCCCTGATCTCCCAGTGGGATCCTAGTGCCTCAGCAGAGTCCCATAATTGCATTGCTATTAGATCACACTGCAGGAGTGGGCCCTGTATCCATTCCTAATTCTGTTTTGATCTACTTAGTTTAGAACTTCTGTTGTGTAGGCTTAAATGGCTCTTCCACAGCTGTCTGTGATAGACAATCATACCATCTCACAGCTGTGTGTGGGCTAACTTAGATGCATGTCATTTGAGAAATAGTTATATGACTGTGGTAAGAAATTATTCTACTCTAATAGAGCTATTTTTCTATTAAAAGGTGGTTGAAGATGGGTATGAATTCTTTGCAAAAAGGCAATTGGTAACTCTGTTTTCTGCCCCAAATTACTGTGGAGAATTTGACAATGCTGGTGCCATGATGAGTGTGGATGAAACTCTAATGTGCTCTTTTCAGGTACAGTATCTTAAGATTTTGCCCTTTAACAAATTTGCTTTTTTATTAATAAAAAAAAAGTACTATTATAGAAATATTTCTCACTGCAAATAGATTTTTACAAATGTGAAAGGTGGCTGGAAAGGCTACATTCAGTTCAGTCACCCTTTCTCTTCTCAGAAAGGATTTAGGTTCTGTCCACATTGGCATAAAGTTGAGCACACTTCTCACCTTGAATTAGATTTTTCCAACTGAAGTCTCATCTGTTTCCTGACTCTTACTGTCACGTGATTCCAGATGGTCTGGTCTAGTACTAGCATAACTGTTAGGTGGGCAGGGAACACACTACTCCTAGCATTGAGCATGCAGAGCTGCTGGCTGACTTTACTCATAATGGTCACCTGTATGATGTTTTTTACAAGCAAATTAGCAGATTGGCTAGTTATTTGCTGGCTAAATCACCATAGTAAATGACTGAATTGTCTTTTCAGATTTTGAAACCTGCAGAGAAAAAGAAGCCTAATGCTAGCAGACCTGTAACGCCACCAAGGGGTATGATCACAAAACAAGCGAAGAAATAGTAAATTTGGTACTGCCTAGTTGGGACTTGTATTATAGTATATAACCTCCATTTTTAAAACTGTAACGTGTACTGTTCAGCTTGCTCAAAATAGATAACGTGTTTGTGGTTTTTCATTTTGATTTAATGAATGGCATTTGCTGGTTGTAACAGCAAATGAAAGACTTTTCTCCCTTCCCAAGAAGAGTTTTTAAAACTTCCCTTATGTCGGTGTTACAGCTGTACACTCCACAGCATCTTATCCTGTCATTATGGGTAATTGTACAACTGACTTTTTTGAATCTGTACAATGAGTAGTGTAAATGCTTGTTTTCTTCTTTAGGAACTAAAGAGGGCACTAGTGTGCTGTGAGATTAGAAATTTGTTACTGTCTGAAGTTACATACTGTTTATACAAACCACTGTGAACTTTTTTTACTTTAAAAATTTGTTTTAAAGGGATTGCTTTTCTTTTAATGTCTTGTCATGTACACATTAGTTTTATTGCTGTCAACATAAGAAATAATCCTCAACCTGACCAGCATCACTGGTATGATGTATATTTAATTAAAGCACACTTCCCCTCCCATATGCTTTAAATGAAAATTAAAGCCATTATTTTAAATGTTTGTGTCTCTTTCCTGAAGCCAAAGTTTCTGTTTAAAAAGCTGTATCTACACAACCCATCAAGATGAATTGGCAAGGCTTTACATTCATGCCTTTCTCTTGGAGATAAAAGGAAGTTTTGACTTTAAATAGCAAGTTGTAATGCTGTGCTGTTTGTGCTATTAATGGTAAAGGTAAACAACGTTTTGTACAATTTCAATATATTCTATTGAGTGAACCTTCTTACAGTTGCAGCTGTCCTGTGGCAGCCAGTTCCAGAAAGCAGTAACTTGTGGAAATGGTTCTAGATCTGCCTGAGAATTTGTCCATTTCTGGCCTAAAGACTTGCTTCTGCAAAGAAGCGTAGAAAATAACTCCTGTGCTTGGGTGGTTAGCAAGTTATTTCTGTTCACCAGTTTATACAAATCTAAGTCTCTTGTTTTTTTTAAAAACAAAACTGTTAATCTTTTTTTGAACAGATGACAGTGTACAATACCATGTAGTGAAAGTAATTCACTTATTAAATGAAGAAATTGTTAAATCTTCTCAGTGTCTATTTATCAGCACAATTCACACCAGAGTTATCAGAAGATTTGGCTAAATTAGGTCAATAAATTGATCTGGAAACCCACAAACTCAACTTGGAATTATGTTTGAGCTTCACACACCTGAGGTATGTTTCTAAAGGGAAGGTCTTGATATAGATCCATCATGCTTACCTGTAAAACTTGAGTGCCTCCCAATTAAAAGCGAGATGGGAGAGTTGTGCTGTCAGATTAACTTGTTAGTCACACTCCTGTAGATCCAGTATAGTGTACAAGTAAATCTAAGTTCTAAATTTGTCACTGAAAATACAGGCAGCTTAAATATTTCTAATGTCTTCCATAGATCAGGATAGCTGCAACACAACTCCTAGACAGTTTTGTTCGCTTTCCACTGGAATGGGGAACGAATGTGCTGTAAGATCTTCCTGCAGCCTTGAACTCTATTTTGCTTTCCCGTCAAACTTCAGACTCTTTGGAACTCCGCCCCCAGTTTCACCTTTGCAACCCAAAACTTGGCCTCATATCTTCAGTAGCCTTTACTAGTATAATGGTATTTCCATTTAGTAGCAGTATAATCTGAGAGGGAATGTAGGTTTATAGTTAAAGCCAAAAGCTTTAAATGATGAAGTTCCCAGATAAGAATGCTAATGGGGAAAATACACCACACATTTTTTTCTGAAAGAGCTTGCAAAGTAGGATTTTAAAAGTAGAATAAACTAGTTTGTCCGGTATCACCAGCCTTCTTTCAAACAGCTTTGTCAGGAAGAACTCTTATCTCATATCTAAGTCTATGGTTATCTGGCTGTATAATTACAGAACAAGTCTCCATCACTGTGAATGTTAGATTCATAGATTTTAAAGACAGAAGGAACCATTGGATCAAGAGTCAGACTGAAGAACTTCATTGTTACTCCAATCTGAAAGGGATTGTATGACGGGGGTTGGCTGTGATAGCAGGGGACTGGACTCAGCAGATAGGACTGGAGGGATCATTGAGCCCAATAACTTGCATTTGAGCAAAACATATATTTGAGAAAGTCATCTAATCTTGATTTGAAGACTCCAACAGATTGAGAATCCACCACTTCCTTGGTGGCTTGTTCCAATAGCTAATCACCCTAGCTGTTTGCAATAAGGCAAAAAATTTTAACTTTAATTTGTCCGGTTGTAACTTCTAGCCATTGGCTCTTGTTCTGCCTTACAGATACCTTCTCCATAAGAAGCAGTACTGACAGGTTTTTTTTCCCTGGTCAATTTTGTGTAAGAGAACTTGTGCCAAGGCACGGTTCTTATGCCATGCCCATCATGGTAAGTCTTTGCATCTACTGAGGCTCATCGCTTCTCCCTGTTATGTCCTTCAGCACTATCTCTGTTTACACCCATCTAATGGGATAAAGTGCTAATACAGGAGTAATATGGTGAGCACTAACTAGCTAAGACAGTTAAAATATAGTCTTAAATATTGCATGTCCCTGTTGAGTATTACTCAGACTTGAGCTTGTCTCTTACTAGAGCACATGGGAACCAAGAATGGATGCTTCTTGCTCCTATCTTTAAGTTAAATAGATGGCCCCATAGTGCCCTATCACACAGCCTTACTACATCACAGATGGGAACCATTTGCCTGATGAGATTTCCTCCCGTAGAGTTGGGTCATGTAGCCCTGGCTTAATGTAAGTCAGAATGGAGATTTGATTAGGAAAATCTCAGGGTGAAGTTCCTATCATACCACATGTGTGTTAACCTTGTAATATTTACAACTTATTTTCTACTCGCATTGAATAGGTGAGTAGAAAATAAATCCATTTAGTCTCTTTGGACAAAATTACAACTCTGGTTGATAAAGGCAGCTATGTTGATGTATACATGGACTTCTTGAAGGCCTGTGACAGCACTGTAAGACTGCTACAAGAAGACTTCAAGAATGTGGAAATAGTGGAGAAAGCTCAAAGGAGGATAACAAATGTTATCCAAGACCTGGAAAATGAGACTTAGGATGTGAGGCTTAAGGAGCTCAGTTTATGCAAAGAGAAGGTTAAGAGGTGGCTTGATTAAAAATATACTGTAGGTACTGACACGTGCAAAATATCTAATGGGGGGAGCTCTTCACTTGTGTTGACAGACATAACCAGGCCCACTGGCTGGGAGTTGAAGTTAGCCTTGAAATAAGACACCATGTCCTAGCAGTGAGGATAATTAAACATTGGAATATCTTACAGCAGAGGTGGAGTCACCATCACTAGAGAGTTTTTAAAATTAGATACCTTTCTAAAAGATGTACTTTCCTACAGCTTGTACGTGCAGGGGCTTGGGCTAGTCCTGGGTGTCCTTTCAGGCCATGAGGTCCTCCCCATCACCTTTCCTTCATGACCCATGGGGAGAACAGGATTGCCTGCATTGCCCTCAGTACACTTACAACACTGGCAACTCTGCATTGACAATGCCTATAATTAAAAATTAGGCTTCAGCTGGTTACCTGCAGCAGTCTTGAAAGATTTTTATTTTTATGCATAATTGGCAACATGTATCCAGGGTGTTTTTTACATTCCTTGAAAGAAATAAATTATCCACAGATAAAGATGGTGTGCCAGATGTGGTGGGCCTTGCCTTGAGGTGGGTACAACAAATCTTGCCCTATTATGTAGATGCCTGCCTGGTGAGTCTTGCTCAGGGTGTGACTAACCTTCCCCCTCACCACTAAAGAGGTACTCCTAGGCGACTGTTCAGAGGCTGGGGGCATAGCACTGACCCTGTGAATCTGTGACAGCTGCCCCCAAATAGTCTCTCAGTCTTAAACTGACTGCCAGATTTTGAATCTGGAAGATATTTCCCCCCAGGTCAGACATAGATGTTGGCAGTTGCTTATCTTCCTCTGGAGCATGAATTGACTGCTAGGATCATCTGGGCATATTTCACCTAATCGGTTCTCTGCTATTGCAGGGGCCTAAGGCAATGGTGACACTGTGGTGTCTCCTGTTTTCTGCCTGTGGCACACAACAGTTTAACCTCTTAAGGATTTGGAATGCTTTAGTCTAACTGAAGTCAATAGACTTAATATAGGGTTATCTGGGTGAAATTCAACAGTGATATAGAGGTCAGACAACATCATCTAATGGTCCCTTCTGGCCTTAAATTCTATTAAACTATGAATTAGGGAACTATAACTACTGGAAACTCCAGTCCCCAAACAGTAACTTCCTGTATCTCCTGGAAATTACATTTTTCTACTATGAACAAAACTTCTGTAACATCATCTGCCTGGAACTGGTCACTTGGCTCATGTTTAGTGTCTAGGCTGACTGACTGATTACTGCCACCAAGAGCAACAAGGAAGATAAATTATTCTTTACTAAAGGCACTACTGAAAATGAGTGGGGTGGGGAGGGAAGAAAT